CCCCCTCGCTGCGCCGCTCCTCCCTACTTCGGTTTGCGGATCGCTCGGGTAAGGGAGAGCGTTGGCTTCCCCTTTTTAATTTTTTCTTTTATTTCATGCTTTATCTTTGCGCTCAAGGAACGGGCGCTGAGAAACTGGAACTCTATATTTTTCTTTCTTTCTGTCTTTTTTTTTTTTTTTTTTTTTTTTTTTTTTTTTTTTTTTTTTTTTTTTTTTTTTTTTTTTTTGTCCCCGCTGCTTTTCATTTCAGCAATTTAAAACGTTAAAGGTTGAAGCAAAGTTAGAAGGAAAATAATTGCTGTAATGAGGCTAGGCAATCTTCTGCAGGCACTGTGGCTCCAGCGAGACTGTAGCTGGGGGCGAGGCGGGACTTTTATCATCTCCTAAATATCAATGATGCTTTCAATAACTCAACGAAACAACATACCTGAACCCAGTCACTTTCTCCAGAGCTCGCTGCTCTAATCCCCCTCTTCTCATCTCTCGCTCCGCCCTGGCCGCCCAGTCCTTTCTGGGCTGGGGTGAGTTTTGGGGTTTTGTGGTTAGTTGTTTTTCGGTTTGGGTTTTTTTTATGTGTTGGTTTTTTGTTGGTTTATTTTATTTTATTTTATTTTGGTCTGGCTTTCTTTTCCGATCATTTCTTTTCTCTGTGCAAATGACAGTGTCTGTGATCCTGACCCCAGCGCCCAACGCCGCGCCGGACGGGGAGAGCGCGGTGCCGGCTTTTTCCCACGTTGTGTCTCTGGCAGAAAAAGGCTGGAGATAAACTTAGCCTCTGCGCGATTAGACCGCGGGTTTGGGGAGAAGATCTAATCGTGCAGGAGGCCAGGTTTATCCTGTAAAGAAGCCCTTTAAAAAGCCAGAAAGATTTTAAACAGCGAGAACCGCCTTGAGCTGGCTCCCCGCAAGCCCCGCTCCCCTCCGCCGGCACCTTTGGGCGCTGCGGCGCGGGGCTGGGGGCGAGCCGGACCCTTTCATCTCTCCGCTTTGTCTGTATTTTTTTTTTTTTTTTACATTATGTCAACTCGGGATGGATATTCGAAGCGCAGGATTCCTATTGAACATGTCTTTGCTTTAAGTTTTCCCCCTGACCCTTGGGCTAAAGTCCTTGGTTGCTCAATTAAACCCAGATGAGAACAATTAATAACTAAGTAATGACAATAAGTTGGGAATCACACGGATGAACGCTCCATGTGAATAGGAAAAGCTCACACAAAAGAGCAAAAAGGATTTGTCGGCTCTTTTTAAGGGGGAATTGGCTTTTCTTTTTTCTTGCCTCTGGCTTACCAGCAAATAAAACTCACTTTTGTGTCTTTGTCGCCTTAAGGATCTCAGTGGGCAGTTGGAAGTGAGAATGGCTGTTTTCCTTTCAACTTGAGGGTGCTGGCGCCACGCAGCCCCAAGGATAGAGAGTAGCCAAAGCAAAGTTTCCTAATAACTCCCCTGCACTACACCCGGGAGGTGAGGCAGCGTGCCCCGGGACGGCCCCAGCGGCCAGGGCCTCGCCCGCCCTCACCCCCCCCCCCCCCCCCGCCCCCCCTCCCCGGTCACTCCGGTACCCCCCCTCCCCTCCATGCATATCTCCACACACACTCCTAGAGAGCCTCGGCAGAGAGAGAAAGCAGAGGGGCCCCGAGCACATCCATGTACCACCACGGGCTCACAGACGAGGCAAGCCTCTGCCGTGGGAAAGCCAGAGCGCCTTGACGCGGCGCTTTCCACGGAGGGTGGGAAATACAGCGCACAGTAGCCAGAGCACGGAGAGGGAGCAAACACCCGCAGAACCACACACACAATGAAAAGGAAGCCATTTTTCTACTCGTATTCCCCCAAACGAGGGGAACGACTCGGTTACCCGCACACGAAAGCCGCCTCCCTGCAGGCGCGGGCAGCCCCGGTACCGGGAAAATCTGCTGAGCAAATCTTTGGTTAAACGGTGGATTTGTTGTCTGCTCTGAATTTCTGGTGTTTTCAGGGTTTCTTCCTGAATTCGCTGTTTAACTCGAAACACGAATCCGTGCCCTGTTGAATGCTTTCTCTACCGTTTTCCGCAGTGCTCAAGTGAATTAGGAGCTAAAAGCCCGTTTTCAAAAGTGAGGGCAGGCTGAATTCAGCGAGTTAGGCACAGCAGCAGCAGCCTCCTGCTGCTCGGGATTGTGCCTGAGAACACAACCTTCAGAAATCAGAGGCAGAGCAGGGAAGCTGCCTAACTTACCCATTGTAAAGGCCAGGCGGAGGGGAGGGGGTGACCCTGCTTCTCAGTAGTACTCACATGCTTACATCCAGGCTCATCATCTTGTGTGAGTCTCCTGAGTCACATCAGATCTCCTTCCTAGAGACCTGGGAAGGGAAAGGCCCGTTGAACAAACTGGCTGGCCACCTTCATGGAGAAACAGGATACTTCGCACTAACTCCTGGTACTGCCTGATTTCAGGTAAACAGCTGGACTCAGGTATTTTGTATGCAAAGTGAAAATCCCAATCACCCATTTATTAAAGACTCTGAGATGATTGCTCTTCATCTCTCCTAATGATACCTTTGATTTTATATTAGACACAGTGGTGGCCAGAGTGCAAGCCTCATGGCCAGGACACTCCTCAGAGCCGCAGGGCCGTTCAAATTAAATCCAGCAGAGTCGTGACTGGCAAGTAAGTCTCCCATTGCTTGGGATATAATATACTGTACCCAATGAGCTGTTGGATGCAATGAGGTGGTTCTCTCCCTCCCTAGTTTTCCACCAAAGCAGGCTTATGTGGCTTAGGCACTTAACTGCAAGGGAGTTTGTGGCAGAAAGAGACACCTTCTTCCTGCCTATCACAGTGCTGGGTGCCACTATACATATATATTAGAATTTATACACATTCTAACCCAAGGAGCGTGTGGATTACTGAAGTTTCCTTTCATTAGCTTTTAACTCCCTCCACACCTTGTGTGAAACACAGCGGTGTCTGTCCCTGGCCTGAGCAATCTGTTCCACAGCAGGGAGCCTAAAAATGAGGCATTGCGATAATGGGCATTGCAACACAGAGCTCCTTGGGGCTGGCCCGAGGCCCCTCTGCAACACGGACCCATTGTCTGTCCAGCTCTGCGGCAGGAGAAGCTGGAGGCAGAACCAGAATCAACAGCTCTGACTCGTTTAACTACGAGGAGTAAATTGTAACATGCTGCACAAGACAGATTTGGTAGTGATTTGCTTACAACAGTAAATCGGTCGACATTAACTCCACTCCGTTGTACTTCTTCATCTCCCAGACCTTTCATCCCTCCAGGCTGGATCCGGTTCCCACCCTGCAGTGATTAAAGAGAGAGCAAGAGAGGGAGCTACCTGGACACAGTCTCCCTCGTGTGACCAGGAATGTGCAATAAATCCACCGTGCAAAGCTGCCCTTTTCATCTCGGGAAGTGGCGGCAGCTGAGGACCCCACTGCAGCACGGGTTAAAACTCCTCCTGAGAGGTGGGAGGCAAGTGCCTGCACTCAGCTCACCTTCGCAC